GTGGGGTGTGGGGTGGGTTTTGTGGCTGTGGGGGGGGGGGGGGGGGGGGGGGGGGGGGTGAGGGAGTCTAGCTATTAGCTTGCGGGAACCTGGGAACCAGGACGCCTGGGAGTGGGGAAGGGGGGCTAGTTATTGGAGTGGGGGTGGATGGGAGTCGGCACACCTGGGCTCTCACCCAGCTCCAAGAAGAGAGGGGGATGGCAGCAGGACACCCTGCCCTGACCTTCTTCCCCGCACCCCCCCCCCAGCGGAGGCAATGGCTGCAGGAGGCTATGGCCGAGGCCTTCAAGGGGCAGCTGGAGGAGGTGGAGCAGATGAAGGAGTGTCTGCGGGTGCTGGAAGTCCAGCCCCCCAGCGGGGAGGACGGGGAGAGCTCGGAGCATGGTTTGGATGACCCCTCCCGCCAGGAGCGAGCCCTGGAGCTGCTGGCTGAGCTGTGTGAGAACCTGGACAATGCTGCAGGTATGGGGTACCAGAGAGGGGCTCATGGGCATCCTAGGGGGTGGTAGCTTTTCCAGGAAAAACTTCACAGTCAGGGTGTCCAGACTGTGGAATAAACTCTCTCCAGTGGTGGTGCAGTCACCTACCCTGGAAATCTTCAAAAGGAGACTGGACAGTCACCTCGCTTGGGTCACTTGACCCCAATTGTCCTTTCTTGCCTAGTGCAGGGGGACTGGACTCAATCTATAAGGTCCCTTCCAGCCCCTAACAATCTATGAATCTATGATATGCATGGGCCAGGTGAAGGGGGAGTCTCTAGGGGAGAGATGAGAGCTGTGGGGTGGGCTCTGGGGATGGGGATGCTTGGGGCAGGGGGCCTGGGGCCTGGATGGGAGCAGAGGGGAGCTTGTGAGTGTTTACATAATGTCAGGGTGTCTGGTAGCACTTGGACAGGAGAAAGGGTAATGTAGGCAAGAGAGACTCCTTGCAGGGTGGGGAGAGGGGGGGTCAGAGGGCAGGTTAGTGGGTTGGAGCAGTGCCTCCATAGGTCTGGAAGGGGCTCACTTTGGTACAAGACCCTCCCTGATGCCGCAGGATTGGGGTAGCAACTTCTGAGGGCTGATCCCCCTTATTTTGGAGGTGAACCCTTAACATAGGGCAGGCACTTGGGAACTGGGTACCCTGAATGCCATATGGGGGCAAAGTCTTTCCTCAGTCATGGGGGTATAGAGGTTGGCACTTAGTGGAGCCTGGGAAATGGGAGCAAGGGGACCCCAGTTGGAATGCAGGTGCCTGCATTAACCCATACATTGCCAGGAGCAGGGTGGACAGGAGCTTCAGGGGCAGATCAAGGTGGAGCAGGGGAGGGGTTGCCTTGGGGGTTGTGTCTATGGGGCACCCCATTAATTACCAGAGGGGATGGCTGGGGCTTTGACAAGGCCTAGCATGGTGATATAGGAGTTGGGGGACCACACTGAATGTACCATATATTCTTGCAAACAATGCATCCCTTCCTCAAAAACAGCTGCTGGGAATTGGAGTGTGTGTTATATGCAAGAAATACAGTAAGAACAGTTTCTGCTGCTTTCCTGACACAAGCAAATGTAAAATTTGCAATCATCTACAGGGAGCAGAATGATGAGTAGGTTCTCCTTCCTTGCAGCTGCTGCTCAGTTATATGCTACAAGGAAAGGTCTTTGTACTAATGTCATTTTGCCTTTAAAAAGCCAGGTGCGTGTTGCATTCTGGGGCATGTTCTACGTGAGAAGATATGGTACGTAGCTTCCAGGCTGGATGTCTTGACTCCAGGAGTGCTAACCTGGGAGTTAGCCTTTGGCCCAGATCTGGCCTATGGCACTGTCTCATGTGGTCGGTAGGACTCCTCAGACATCCAGAAATGTGGTAGTGGAGGAGCAATGGCACTTACCCCCTGTTGTCAAATCTGGACTCGTAGGGAACCTTGGGCCCTATTGTCTGGATCTGGTGCCCAGCTGGGAGGATATGGCTCTGGCCCCAATTCCAGCACACAGGGACAGGAGAGGGCAATGCCAGGCCTCCAGGATCCAATCCTGGTGCATGTGGGACGGGAGGAGGTGGTACCAGGGTCCTGTGCAGCTTACAGATGGGCCCTGTACCACTTATCTGGCCCACAGGGCTGAAAGATGGAGCACTCCTGATGTAGACCATGTTGTCACCCTTATGTGTACTTCCCCCTTAGATTTCTGCAAGCTAGATGGGATGCGGCTGCTGGCCCATCAGTACCTGGAGCACCTGGACCCGGAGCTGCGGTGGCGTGCTGCCCACTTAGTGGGCACCTGCAGCCAGAACGTGCCTACAGTGCAGGAGCAGGCCCTGGCACTGGGCTGCATGCGGAAGCTGCTGCGCCTGCTGGACCATGACCCTGGCGAGATGGTGCGCATCAAGGCACTCTTTGCCATCTCCTGTGAGTCTACTGGCGGGGGGCAGTCTGGGTAGTGGAATGGGACAGGAGCATTTTCCCCTTCAGGGGGTGCTGCCTCTCTGAAAAAGGGCACTAGCTGGCTCAGTGGATGGGAAGAAGGCAAGGCCCTTTGCCGTCCAAAGAGCACAGGCCGTGGAGCTCAGGGGTACTGGCAGGCTTAGAGTTGGGGATGGGGCAGAGGCATTGTTCCTTATAGGGGGCACTGGCAGGCTCAGGGGTGGGGATACAGCATGGGCTTTGTAATGTAGGCAAGGGAAGTGGCAGGGGAGAGTCCATCCAGCCCTTGCTGATGGAGTTTCTGCCCCTCTTTCCCCACATGGCAGGCCTGGTGCGTGCCCAGGAGGCTGGGCTGCTACAGTTCCTGAGGCTGGACGGCTTCTCTGTGCTAATGCGGGCGATGCAGAGTCCTGTGCAGAAGCTTAAGGTGAAATCGGCCTTCCTCCTACAGAACCTGCTCCTGGATCACCCTGAGCACAAAGGTGAGGGAGCAGGGGTGAGGAAAAACTGGGAACCCTGTTTACCACAGTAGCACTATTATCTGCCCCTGACTGTGCCGTGCAGCCCAGACTTCCCTGGCTCCATCCCTGAGTTTGATGCTATGCCCCACCCTCTGGTCTGTGCCTCTTCTCCCCAGCCTGGTGTTAGGGTGGCACACCCTCCGTTCCCTGGGCAGTGCCCCTTCCCCTTCGACCCAGCACTAGGGATGCACCCTCAATCCTCCCAGCTCAACACTAAAGGGATGCTGATGTCCCTGACTACTGCCCATCCTCTCTGCAGAGACCCTGTGCTCCATGGGGATGGTTCAGCA